ACATTAATGTTAATAATTATAAGGCTCCATGTATATCCATACACATGCCAGCAACAGCCAGACTGAATGTGGCGATTAAATCCACGCTCTCTGCTGCACAGCATCTTCACCTTCCACCTCTGATCTTTGACTTTGTACATTCAAACTGACACCAATCATGTATATACCATAGATACTACACATCCAAACATGACCTCATCCGAGGTAAAATAAAGAATAGCTGCCTCTTACCCATAGTCTCCATCACTGCCCACAGCTATGTCCACTCTGCACTTGAGTAAATTGTCCTTAGCGCCTCCTTATAACACTACTCTTACTGATACTGTATGTGACTGTCAGCTGATCTAAGCTTCCTGGCTTCCTTGAAAGTGTTTTCACTGTAAAAGGAGACAGTGACAGATTGTCTCTGTGTGAATGTGGAAATCTGAATGCTCACTGCTGCCTATAAAGCCTCGGGGAGGGAGAGAGACACAGAGAGAGAGAGAGAGAGAGAGATTAGGAAGGATAGACGTCATCAGGCCATATGGAGTATTACAGGTCATGTGCTGGTGAGGAAGAGGGGGATACACTGCGCAATCCGAACCGCTGCTCTCTCACAGTCACCGGCACACACACACAAACAAGCGGAGTGCGTGGCGGATATGTTATTGATTGTATTTACTTGTCTGGAGATTTGTCGCATCGTCACCTGAACACTGAGCAACAGCGTAAAGACAGAGCAACATGGAGACACACCCTCACAAACACACAATCCACTTTCAGTGGGTCTTGGGTTTGTTAATGATTTCCAAATATTAACTTCTGTACAACGATGACTGCATGAATGCACAAACATGCTGAGCGAGTGTGTGTGCGTATTGCAATAATAACTTCCTCAGTTTGCATGTTGTAACAGCACTCAGGTCCCTTTAATCACAACTCATCGTCACTAATGTTACGTCATGTTCAGTGTTATTTTCCATTCAAAACATTGTACTTTTCCAAACTGAACTAAATGTAATCATATTTTGGGCCGGAATAACATTTTGTCATTCACACAGTATATTTGTAGTACACAGCAGCAGTTCTCAACCTGTGGTTCGAGGCCTCGCTAAGAGTCATGAGATTTAAGAAAATACATTTTTGCAACACATTTTTTTTCAGTTTTTCTCTCTTTTTGTAAAATATTGGATTGTTTTACCTCTTCAGGTCTGTAAAATCTATTTAAATGATACATTAGTCTGTAGCTCAACTGCACACTACCTAGAGACATGCAAACTGTGACAAGAAGTCAAGTCTCAACTATTGGGAGGACTGCTAAGATCATGGTCCCTACAGGATGAATTGTACCGACTTTGGTGAGCCATCAGGGGGTAAACATTTTTGTGTATCATCATAATTGTAAAATAACTGGCACCAATTGTTGGACAGACATTTAGGGACCCAAGATGACAGATCCTATTGACTTTAATGATGCCCTGACTTTCTAGACATTTACAGTTGTGCGTGAAATGTCTCAACAACTATGTAGATGGATTGTCATGAAATTTCATACAGAAATAAATTTTTCCCACAAGAGGAATTGTAATTATTTTTCACAATGCGGCGCGCCATCATTGCGAGGAGGCATATGTTCATTTAGCTCAAAATACAGCCTCACTGTAGACGCCTTGTTGGCGTGTAGCTACGTATGTCTGCGGGTTGTGAGTGATTTCCCTCATCAGCATTCTGCAGAGACCTCTGTGAAACATCCACCTGTTCCTCTATGAATACCAACAAGACAAATTCCTGCACTTGAGTGTTCTCCGTGATCCAAATCATTCTGATGCTTTATGAGCAGAGACAAAGCGATATCGTTCCTCTCCTCTCCTTCATCCAACAGTGTCAAGGAGCCAATGTTTTCAGTTCCTCTGTGTTGCTTTGACGTCAGTGTGTCAGGGCACAGCTGAGCACACAGAACAAAAAGCTGACTTGTGAGTGATGACTCACGTCTTCGCGTAGACGCAAGACTGTACAGTCGCTACACCTTGCCACACAAGTCACGATGCATTAAGGCAGGCGCTAGCGTGATACCAAAGATTTTCTTTACTGAACGACAAGATTTCTTCAGCATGGAGGTTGTTTTGTTACCAAACAGCAAGAGAACAAATCATTTTCCACAAGAGCCACAAGCAACAGAGCCAAAGAGCATTCACTGATAACATATGTGTACATGTGTGTTTGTACCTGTGTGTGTAAGCTGTGAGGGCAGTGTGACTCACATCCTGTAGACAACCTCTTGTGGGTCCACGCAGAATAATTTACTGTGCTGGAGTGACTGGGAGCATGAGATGAGCGAGAGAGAGAGAGAGCGAGAGACGAGAGAGAGAGAGAGAGCAGAGAAGAGAAGAGAGAGGAGAGAGGAGAGAGAAGACGAGAGCAGAGCCAGAGAGAGAGAGCAGACAGAGAGAAGAAGAGAGAGAGCAGACGGAGAGAGAAGAGAAGTCCACCTAATTCTTGTCACTATATCCTTTTGTGGCATATTGACATTTACACATTGAAGGGCAGCTGCCTCATTACATTACAATATGTGTGTGTGTGAGAGAGATCAGCTGAAACTATTTCACTGTGATTTATTATATTAATGAACTCAACCCCTCTTTAAGTTATTTCAAATTCAAACTAAATGCTAACTTGTGTATCTGTAACAAATAAGAAATGCATGTCTGTAGTTGTTTTTTCCTTTTTTCCTTTGTTTTAATTATTTCACCTTTTGATGTATCTAGTTTCTTGTTTGTTTGTTTTGATCTTATTTTATGTTAGTGAATTGGTATGACTATTTTCTTATAACGAAATTTAAAAATTCAATTCAATTTTTATTTGTATGAACGCGCAAATTCATAAGCAGAAGTTCAATCTGCAGGACACCTTTTCAAGAATAGAGCAGGTCTAGACCGAACTCCTTATAACATTTACAGATTTAAAAACAAACACAAAAAACTGATGGTTCTATTTGTGATCTTAAAGTACCACTATTACTATGACAAACAATTTTTCCCCTTTTGAATCAATTGACAGATCTGTATCCGACAGTATAACATTACCTTCTGGTTATCCTAACAGTCAAGTTTCAAACTCAATATGTAGGCAATCTGAGGCGGAGATGTGAGTGAAGGGCTACAATACAATACAAATTTTCCAGGACAACTTGGATAACTTAGATTATTTCCAGGATATTCTGTCATTTTAATCCATTTCCAGGTGTTTCTATGACTGGAAAACTCCAGGACGCATGGGAACCCTGATGGACTTTGCAGCTAGCATTGCTAATGGAAAATGAATATGAGGTTGTATTTTGTTGACGTTTAAGTCAAGACTTGATGTAAAACCATAACCTGAATCATATATTAACACTTCAGTCTGTTAAAGTTTTTTATTTTAAGCAACATTCATTAAAAACAGTTCTCCCAAAATGATGCCATCTCATTTCAATATTATCACTTAATATCAGTTAATCTTACACTGACCTATAGTGCAGATGTGTGTGTGTGTGTGTGATATCGTGCAGACCCTAGGGTATGTTATCTAGTTTGTAGTATTGAATTGCTGCTTTACTCTCTGACCTTTAGACAGGCAATGCTGAGTGAAAACAAACTGCAACATAAAGAAGCTGCTCGATGCACATACACATGTTGTATTAGTAAAGAGCCTTTCTCGCAGTGCAGTGTGAGACAATGCAAGTTACAGTGAAAGAATCACTTTACTTAAAAGCACTGACTAACTTCTTGTGTGTATATATATTATATATATATATATATGTATGTCAAGGTGATTCTTACATTGGAAATATACTTCATATCATGTGTCAGAGCAGTGGACTTGAGACATGACCCTATGTGTTTATCAAATGCAAACAAAAGCATCGCCCCACGACCATAAATCAGAACACAGAGGGGAACCTGATATCAGAAGAAGCTGAGTGCTCTATTTACAGTCACCAGGGACATCAGCGTTATAGGTTATTATTATTATAACTATGGTTTTGCAGTTGTATTGAATGTAACCATCTTTAATGACTTTCACTTTGCTGACTCCTGCACTCTGAAGATACTGCAAGTCACATCTTCACATCTTTTTTCAGCCCGTCTGGCCTGGAAATATATCTACAGTACCATCTGTTCCCAACCAGTTTACAGAGCCCTCTCAGTCTGCTCTGTGACATTAAAGTTAGCAGGCTCTCAAAGTTTGAAGGTCGGGCATGAAAAGATAAAAGGAAGTTGAGAAAGGTTCAGCTCTGTGCAAGTGTCCTCTGATGTGCAGAGACATCTGAAACAGGCACAACAAGTACTTCAACTGGCTGTTGCAAGCAATTGGTTGCCAATTCTCTTAGATAAAAAAAGCAACTGGGACTTGAGTAAGAAAAACAAAACATGGACACCAATGTCAAGTATGTCAATATGCCCAAACAAGGGCATTAAAGCTAAACCAAGCAGACTATCCTCAGTTCCTGTCGTGTAATGAGCCCCGCCCCTTTCATACCCAATCCAAGATAACTCTGATGACATCATTAAGAGTATTTTCTCACATTGGAAGTCTTTCACGGGCTGAGTAGTGCTCCTCTTTGCTAGTAAAGTTTTTATCAGTGGTCCATCCTGTGATCTTTCAGCTCAGAAAAGACGGTGTGAAAATTCATGTGAGAAAATAATGAAAAACATCATATGGCAACATTTGTTTTGTGATAGTGTATCAATTCTCAAAAACATTGTATCAACTGAGGGCTATGATGTTGGATGTTACAGGGACTGTGATGAACAGATACAGATAACACTGTTTTGGTTGCATTAAAAAATTTAACTTTAAATATATTTTGGCAAAAGGGCCACAGGTCGAATTCAAACCCACAGCCACTGCAGCGAGGACCTCAGGTCCTGGTACCCTTAAAAAAAACAACTCAGATTTGTGAATGGTGGCGTGTTCTTTACACTATGACAGTTTTCCTAAAATGAAATTTAGAAAAAGAAATAACAAAATTACAAATTAAACTAAAGTCAACCTAAAAATAAGCTGGTTTGATCTCGGCTGAGTGTGTAAAATACAACACATTACATAATTCAAAGAAGTTTCTTACATTTTACATGTCCTTTAACTGAAGATAACAAGAGGCAATTAACAGCAAAATGTACTGATGAACAACTGAGTTTGTGATACAAAGAGTTGTGTTGTGGCATCTATCACCCACAGACATAATACCACAGAATCCATGACACACAGAAATAGCCAGATCACAAGGCACAGAGGAATTCAAAGGAAAGTTTACTTCATGATTATCTAACAAGACTTACCTTCTTTACTGGAGCAAACTTCTGATTTCCCTTCAAACTCCTCTTGTGCAGCTGCTGCCTTGTTCCCCAGCTATGTTCCTCTGCCTGTATGTGGTCCTAACAGTGTGTGTGACACAGACGGAGGGAATGTACCTCTCTGTGCATGTGTCTGCTGTTTTTGCTCAGTGGGACGTGGGTGGTTGCTTGACCCTCCAGCTGCAGGGCAAGGTCACAGCAGAGAGAAACCAGGCTCCTTCTGCCATCTGCTGGTAGGAGCCGCGCAAGGACCGTGTGTTTATACTATATACACATATAGTATAAAGAATAACAGTCCATATTTCCTTTGACTCATTGAGCATCACAATGGCAACAGGAGAAAGTTAAATATAACCTTGTGATTTCACTAAGGGAGTTACAATGATTCCTTAATAACAGGAAAAAAAAGAAAAGAGACAGTTATTTGTTTAGTTTTGTTATGTTTTGTTTATTATTTCAGTACATGAAAGAGGAATATGATGATGTATATGACAGATACTCAATAAGATTATTAAGTGAAGTCAACCAGAAGTGGGTAAACATTTGCCAAAAAGGCGTTAACAGCAGGTTATGAAATTAAAGAAATGGACTTCATGTGTCCTACATTCAGATCAGAGTTATTATAGATTTTTATTTTTATTTAGTTTTGAATTGAGTTGAGTATTAGTTAGTTCCCAGAGTGGGTTTACACGTTTCCAGTTTTAAATGTTTGCTTTTAGTTTAGTTTTTATGACTTAGTTTTTTGTTTTTTTGTTTTTATGACTCAGTGTTGCTTTTGGGATTTTTTAAATAAAAATATGGGGGCTATTTGTCAAGGGAAAGCTAAGTTAATTTTCATTTTGTTTCTAAAGTCTAGTTTTTATTTCTATTTCATTTAACTAAAATGTTTTTTCACACCGTTTTAGTTTTTTAGTTTATTATATTAACCTTGGTGAGTGTATAAAAATGGTTCTCAAACTTGTTCTGGCATAGCTACAAACAAAAGTACTACATTTGTGACCTGTTATAGGACTTTGTAAACAAGCCATAGTGGCAACAGTAACTTAATACTTTGTAATCTTAGTCTGCAGAGAAATCGAACTTTACAAAGTGGTAACATTAATGATTAATGACTGTTCCAGCAATGCAGGAATCAATCATGTTATTAGTGACACCTGTGTTTGATCAAATAAATATCATGAAAAACGTCTATCCTAAAAGATATCCACTAAAACTATACTGTGCTGTATAATACATCATTACTGTCATTCACTGTGTCAAGAGTGAATGTGTCCCAGTTTGAAGTCTACTATTCAAAACTGAATTGTATACATTAGAGCACAACAGACATTCACATGATCTCCTTGTTGCTGTGAGCTT